GTACAACCATTTAATGAACAAATTATGCATTAATTGATTGTACACCGTAGGTTTCCAAAAAACCTATTGTTTTAATAATTTCTTTTTTAGTTTATTAAGAAAAAATCACGGAATCATAACATATATATACAATTGTTTACAGGTCACAACAATTAAAAAAAACAAAAAAACATCTTTAGGTTCATACAAAACCTACGGTGCACAAATCCACACTACACAACCTGTGCATTGTGGATTTGTACACCGTATGTTTCGTATGAGGCCTACGGTTTTACTATTTTTTTTTGTTTTTTTTTTTTTAAAAGTTATCCCTATGTACAAAAACTATTCCTATTCAAGAATATAGTAAGATTTCAATAAAAAATAAATGTGTCTCATTGTTATTCGGGTACTCAATTGAGAGAAAACAGTAGAGAAAAAAAAAGACCTAATCTAAAAATCAATACATTATATATTATAGGCCAATGGACCCTGAAAAAGTAGACGGACCAGGAAACAGTAGTTAATTCCCTAAAACCATAGATTTTTCCTGTTAACCGTAGTCAATGCATGTTGAAAGTAGTCAACGTTGGTCGAACTTCTCTTTCGTGGCCTATTTTGGCTAATGTTTTTTTTTTTTTTTGTTATTTTTGGATAGGTAATTAGGAAAAATGGTTATTTTAATTATTTTTACAAAAATCAATTTAAAGATTGAAATAAATTACTGGATCGATATTAAAAAGAAGATGTTGATAAGGATAATTTTCAAAAGGTTATCGACAAAGTAAAACTTTTTTAAGTGGATGAAGAAAAAAACTAAGTGATCCATAATTCTTAAATAACAAACTTGAATCAAATATTTATTCTAGGCTATTTCGAAAAAAATTCATATTATTTTAACAAACTCCTAGAAACCAATGAATGCATATTTAGTTGTTATATAATATTCATGTTATACTACCAAGTTCAGACATATATCTAAAAAACCAAATAGATCTATAATTATTTCATTTACCATTGTCGATATAGTTGATCGTCTTTTTAATACAAATACAATCTTTGTTCAAGAAAATAATAATTAAAAAGATTATTTTATGTAATCAATACCCCACAAGTACTTGTTGAAAAACTTCTATTTGTCATTTGGTTCCCTCTGGAGGACCCACTTTGATTACGATAAAATCTTACAAAATTTTATTATATTGTATTTTAAATAAACGCAATATATATATATATATATATATATATATATATATATATATATATATATATATATATATATATATATATATATATATATATATATATATGCGAAAATGCAAATAATTTGCGAAAACGCGAAAATAAGAAAAACTTATGAGTTTATACCACATTAACATTATATTTTGGACAATAACTTATCTAAACTTTGAAATATATGATGTTAATCGATAATAAATGAGAAATTGTTTCATATTAGCAAAGTATGATTTTTGACAATTTTATTATGAAAACATGAATTTAAAAATGGTTAAGAACGTTAAAAAATGTAATTATTAAAACCGTTTTTTAAATCTATATTATTATAACACCATCCAATGTAAACTTACTATATTTAACTTATTGTTAATAAATTTATTTTTATAGTGCATGTGTTTGATTTTTTATAAGATAAAATCTGTTTTCGCGTTTTCGTAAAATATTTATATTTTCGTATTAACCTACTTGTGCATATATATATATATATATATATATATATATATATATATATATATATATATATATATATATATATATATATATATATATATATATATATATATATGGGTAAAGTGAATATACCTAACAACTTTATATAAGCTTAGGTACCTAACTCCATAATACTACATTAGTTTGTATCATATTTACATTGTAATTGCCTAAGGTTCTTAAACTTCAACCCCATAACTTGATTACTTCCAAAATATTTGGACTTTCACAAATATCTTTCTTTTACATCACGTCTTTCTATCGAATACCACCTAATGGGCTTGATATCCTACCACTACAAATGAAAGGATGTAGGAGAAATATAATGATGAATTTCCAATTTTTTTTGATGTAAATCAAGTTTACGGAGGAAGTTTAAGAACCTTGGATGATTGCAACGAAAATTTAATGCAAAATAACGTAGTTTGATGAGGTTAGGTACCTAAGCTTATATAAGGTTGTTAGGTATATTCACTTTACCCTATATATATATATATATATATATATATATATATATATATATATATATATATATATATATATATATATATATATACTTGTATGTTATACGAAGTACATGGATATCATACCATTCTAGATTTTTCCAACTATCAATTAAATTAATAAATAACAATGCCTCAGATAGTTGCAATTAACTACAAAAATTATGACAATAGTTGTTTAAGAGTGACGCAAATGAAAATTATACACGAACTTACTTTACTTACTTCCACCTGTTTGTCGGATTGGCTTGACTGAAATTGTGGCTAATCTAAACTTGTAACTTTATTGTGGTCAAATGTAAATGATTTTTAATCAATAATAAAGTAACTCAGAGTGATCAAAACCATATACTCTTCAAAATTGAAAAACGCAGAGCTGTCATTGTTTATTTTCAATCCAAGTCAAGCAACATCAAAATTTTAAAAACATTAGGATAAAGAATAAAAAAATTTTAAAAACACAAAGTGCATATGATATTCGTGACTTCTTAATGTTTTTTATATTACATGATTGTTGTTGTATGCACTTGATGGTTGGAGTTTTCATTTCAATTTATTGGAGGCTATACCGTGGTGTAGATCCAGTTAGGTCGATTTGACAATAGATACTTGTACTATCAAATACTTGATCTGCATAGGATCAACTTCTCTAATTAAAGGCTGATTTTGTAGTGGAAGTTTCTCTAATCAAATACTCGATCGATAGAGAATCATCTTCTCTAATCAAATTCGATCGGCATATTATCATTTTCCCCAATTGGATATTTGATCGGATCTACTATCGATAAGGAATCGACTTCTCGATCAGATCTTTAATCAACAAGGAAGGGCGAGAGGCGGCGATTGAAGACAACAACTTCTGTTCCAGATATACGGCAGAGCGATGATATTAGGTCATTGTAGTGGAAGACGGCAATGAAGAGAGTGGTAAGGCGATCTAAGTGATGGCCGTTGACGAGGTAGGGGTGGTCGTTGGAGGAGAGAGACGGTGAATGGAGAGAGGATGAAGTTTGTGAAGAATATGAGAGAGAGAGAGAGACTTCTTTAGGAATTTTATATTAATATGTTTTTTTTTTTCCTTTAATTACTTGCTATTCCAGATTTACCCTTGTGGTATAATGATAAAAACCTAAAATATCGTATTATATTCACTCATATTTACAAAAATACCATGATCAATCCGAGTCATTCAATATTCAATCCAACGTTTTACATTTAGTTCTCGGGTTCTCATGAATATATATATATATATATATATATATATATATATATATATATATATATATATATATATATATATATATATATATATATATATATATATATGAGGGCTCGTACGAAAATACAATTAATTTACGAAAACACGAAAACAAGGAATGTGCCAACTCAACTTTATATTTTGGACAAGAATTCATCCAAACTTTAAACTATATGATGATAATCGTTGATAAATGAAAAATTGTTTCATATTAAAAAGCATGTTTTTTTTTTATTTTTTTATTATGAAAACTTGAATTTAAGTGGTTAAATACGTAAATACAAATAATTTGCGAAAACACGAAAACAAAGAATGTGCCACCTCAACCTTATATTTTGGACAAGAATCCATTCAACTTTGAACTACATGATGATAATTGATGATACATGAGAAATTGTTTCATATTAAAAAAACATGTCTTTGATATTTTTATTATAAAAATTTGAATTTAAAAGTGGTTTAAAAACGTGAAAAAAAAATAAATAGAGAAACCGTTGTTAAACCACCTTTCAATCTATATTACCATAACACCTTCCAATGTAAAATTATTATTTTTAATTTATTGCTAATAAATATAAATTTTAAAATACATGTGTTTGATTTTTATAAGATAAAATATGTTTTCGTATTGTTTCTAATAAAGAATTCATAATTGTTTTAATATATTTATATTTAATAATATAGTTTAATTACTAATAATATTGATATGATTTATTTATTTAAAGGATTATTTTAGTCAACTTGTTAAAATATAAAAAAAATCTTTTGTCAAACATTAGTTGAAATAGCTTTTGAATTTAAAGTTTTTTGTTTAACCCAAAAGCTACAAGCTTTTGTTGCTGCTAAATGATTTTTTTTTTTATTTCAAGTTTTTTTTCTTAAATGCTAAAAGCTCCCAAAAACTGTGTGCCAAACACGCTCATAAACTATCAAACTAAGCATGACAAATCTTGACACGACCTGCAACATGATATAAATGGGTTTGGGTTGAGTTTTTCAACACCCAACATGTTTAATAAACATGTCATATATAGGTTGCCAACCCATTTAGAATTTTAATAAAAAAAGTTATATATTTTTTAAATGTATTAAGTACTATTCATAGGAATATCAGATTAATGTGGTTATTACATTAACACTTAATTTATCTATGTTCGTATTAATGTTTTAGTTTTAACATGTTACAATGAATGTTATTAATTTTCATTTGCATCTAGAATTCATTTAATGTTTAATTATCTATTTTATTTTTAGAATCTAACCCAAGAACCCAAATTTGACTCACAAACCCCCAACCTGTGAACCTGTATAGTTAAATGGATCGTGTTCAAGTTGGTGTATTTTCACCAGCCAACCCGAACACGACAAAATTGCACGGTCTATATCAAACAATCCCTTAGATATGATTTTTTTTTTTTTTTTTTTTTTTGTTTAAAAAGTTTTAATTTAATAAATGGTCAATCGGTTAACTGGAATAAAAAACCTGTTAACCAGTTTTCCGGTTTAAATTTAGTTTCAAGAAATTAACCAACCGATAGTTTTGATTTAAATTTAGTTTCAAGAAATTAACCAACCGATAGTTTTGATTAACCTTCCGAATTACAATTTTGGTTAGGTTAACCATCCATGTTGGTATGAGAAAAAAGTTGTCCTCTTGCTACGGAATCCAATCCGTTGATATTCCTTTAGTATTTTATCACACAAAAAAATTAATAAATAAATAAACAAGTTCAAATTCCATCATACAAAACACTACCTAATTTTCAGAATGTTTATAGTAATGCACAAGCGATACGAAATCCGAATAATTACAAAAACCAAGGTAACAATTTTCATTTAAACACCAAAGAATGTGGTTAATGGTTTGGCAAAACGGCTAGTGTAGTTGCGATCAGATGGCCGAAGTTCAAGTATACAACAAACTGCAAGAAATAGCAGCGTACTTCACTACTGTTACCAATATGGACAATGTACTTCACTTTTTACTGATTATAACAATGTACTTACAATTTTTTACCAATAATAAGAATATGTACCCCATAATAGCAACATATATACATTTCTTTATGCATATATAGCAACCTACTTACAACTCCTTACCCATAACAACAACATACTTATATATATTCTCTATTGTTAAAATACTTAATAACAATAGGCAACAAATAAAGTACATCATCGATATAGTTTATGAAATATAAGCACGTTGCTATTATTTGTAAAAATTAAAGTAACATTGCAACTATGGGTGGAAAAATAGCAACATTTACACTTCCTTACCCATAATAGCAATCTACTTAGAGTTCTTTATTGTCAAGTGTTAACAACAATATGTAAGAAACAAATGTAAGTACACTGCTATTATGAGTAAAAAAAATATAAAGTACATTGCCCATATGGGTAACAAGAGTAACGTATGTTGCCATTGAGCATACTCACTTTTCATAAAGGTGTTTCATTGCGACTCTGACCTTCTCTTGACCCATTATCATCATCATCATCATTAACATTATTATTATTATTATTATTATTATTATTATTATTATTATTATCATCAAGAGAAGAAGATGCAGATTCTAAGGCTTGATTAAGAGGTGGGTTAGAGCGATTGCGGGAAGCAGCAGAAACAACTGCCAGCTGTCCACTTAACAATCTGTAGATGACATCACGGTTGATGGCTGGTTTAACTAACTCAAGCTGGTGTTCAGGGGTATGTTTCTGGTTGAACCTGCCTGGAAGCTTTGAGCCTGTTTTGTGGCAATCTCCACATAAATCATAACCACTTTTTTCCTTGCAGTCTTTACATCGATATCTTTCCCCAATTATTGGACACATCTGTGTCAACAAATGAAAATTTCAATACACACATGTTAATGTTAAACAATATAGAAAAGCAGAAAAAAAGAAAATGGAACTTACCCCACACCTGTCACAACCAAACCCAGGATGAAATTTTGAGCCATGAGCAGTCCACCATTGAAGGAAATTCTCTTCTGTTGGATATGGAAACTTGGAAGCTTCAGCATCGGCTGCTGCTGATGAACCTATTTTTGAAAGTTCAAAGACATACAGAAAGTAAATATAATGGCAACATATCAGACATGTGTAGCTATATGATAACATCATCAAAACTCACTTGTCAATGAATTTCCATTTTGAGTTTGCTGCATACTGCTTTTTCTATGTGCATACTCTGAAGAAAAATGTTCCTCTAGGAAATAATCAAGCTGTTTGGAGACTTTTGGAAATCCACTCGGATGATTACATTCACAAACTTGACATTTAATTACTTTATCCTCTGGGACACTGATGCAGGCCTCACAGTAAACTAAACATCAATTTCGGAAGGAAAAAAAAAAAAAAAAAAAGTAAATAATAATTTTCACATTTTGAATGAGAAAACACCAAAAGGAAACTACATAATATCTAATAGAAAAAAGAAAAACTAAGCATACCATGACCACAATTAAGAGCAACAGGTCGAAATAGCAGCTGCTTGCATGCAGAACAAAGCATATCAGCAACTGTTACTTGCTGACAGTTTCCAGCAGAACTTCCATCAACAGATTTCTTTTCTTCAGTAGAAGGATTTATCAACAAATTATCTAATTCTTCACCAGTAACAACAGAGTCTATATCTGTAGCAAAGCCTACTGAGCCTTGTCGTTCATCCTCTATACCATGGACACATAGAAAATTAGGTCAACACTTCATAAGTGTCATCTAATATAAATGCATAAATCAGTTGTAGAGTAATGTAGAAATTACCAAGTGTTTGCGTTTTCCTTCTATCATAAGAGATTGGATACATCTTGTTGAGAAAGGTGTCTAGCATCTGACAGATGGCTGGAAAATGACGATATGGGTGCCTACATAATGGACAATGAGATTGACCTCTCATATCCATGGAGTGGTGGCAACACCAGAAACAGGTGACATGGCCACAAACTACAAAAATATCAAGAACAATGCAAGTAGTAATTTAGTAACATGAAACCAAATTAACACCGGTAGCATAATCCAGTTTTCTCAAGCATTTCCTACCTAAAACAATGGGTTTGTACAGAATGTCTCTGAAACAAAAAAGCAACATTAGTGAAGAAACAAAAGCTTACCAAAAATCAACAGAAATAACGTGTATATAGAACATAGTAGCTTATAATCATCAAATTATAAGCCCAGAAAATGATATACCGACCTTCAAATTCATATTAGCACACATCACTACAATATGAAACTTATAGATTATAATAATCGAAATTGTTAGCGCAGAAACAGTGTTATACCAAGCTTCCAATCCATGCTGTTTATAATCTCGAATTTAGAAGGACTACATCTTATAACAAAATAACAAAAAGTCGAAATTCTAGTAGAAAACCAATAGAACTATAAAAATTAACGACGAATCTTACTCGATTCCTACTTCATATATGAATATAAATACGAATCGTAATTGAGCCACTAGAGAAACAACAAATTTAATTCAAAACCCTAAAATTAAGTAGAAAAATCCAATTTAATTGTGCGAAATTGAATAACAGCAAAGTTATAACGAAGTTTGGGAGTATTACAAGCAAACGGCACATATAAAATGATCAGAAACCTGCTCCGATTCATTGCATTCTTCCATGGCTGATTGATTCTTTCGGTTTGTGATTTCAAGTTTTCTTCTGCTAATTTTATTCTGAATATTCTTCAGATGAAAAAAAAGTCGGAGGCTCAGAGCACGCGAGACATCTGGGTCTGACTTTTACATTTTTCTTTTGGGCCAGCCCACTATTATTAGCCCGATATATGGACATTCTTTCCCGATCTAACCTAATCGAAACTCGGAACTACCGACTTTCAAGTTTCAACGTTTTTTTTTACTGCGTGCGAGTATGCGACTTCCCTCTCCCTCCTGTTCTTGCTGATCGATCAAGAGTTAAGTAGGTAAGCATCTTATTCATTTTAAGGTTCTTGAGTCTTCCCTCTCCCTCCTCTTCTTGCTGATCGACGACTTCTTTACTGAATTTGTGATTGCTTCTTGACTTTGCTACCGAATTTGTGATTGCTTCTTTTGACTTTGCTCTTTGTTACTTGAATCTGTGAATGTTATGTAAATGCAAGTAGATGTGATGTAATTGAAAGCATTAATGTATTATAATTTTTAATATAATATAGTATATATTTTTAAGTTAAAAGAAAGAGTATAAATACATGGGATATCTCCAGATTGTAGAGTTCATTTTTCTGTGGATGTTTGTGTTGTAGAGAGATGGAATTGGCTACGAAGGCTTTGGAATTTGCGAACAGAGCAGCGAGCAACAACACTGTAATCAACATATTCCTTGTGGGTGCGTTCGGAGGATTGGCAGTTAGATCATTGAACCAACAAAGACAGATCGAAGCCCTAGAATCTCAAAGGGATTCGCTTGTGAAATCCAACAAATCAATGCGACAAACCATTTGGGATTGGAAGCAAAAGCTCTATACCGAGGCTGAGGCTGATAAAAAACCGATTGTTCCACTCTCAAAACTCAAGTCGATTTATGGCGAAGTCCCCACACTCTCCCAATCTGGTCAGTTCATTGAATTGTTCGTCTCTCATTTGTCTAGTTTTCTTGTTGCCAATGATCGTTATGTTAGTATATTGTTTTGATTTGTGCTTTTGATCCACATCCTAAATGCATTCTTGTTCGATCTTAATTCGAAGCCTAGTTATCCACATTTCAGAAATCTTCCACACTTGGCTTAATTTATTTGATTTTCAGATTCCAAACCTTTCAGTTTGCTATGAAAGCAAACACATTTTGTTTGTAAGAAATGTATATGTAGGAAGGACAGCTTTAGACATTCATTGGATCGAGACTGATTGATGTTAATGGGACAAAACAACATGGACTCGTTTTCTATCTCTCCTCGTGTAGAGAAGACATAAATGCTTTCATCCCCATCATCAAAAATATCCCTAAAAAGCTTGCAAAAGACATAAATGTCCTTCCACCCACCTTGCAAAATTGCAAACTTTGACTATAAAAGTGAACCATGTTAATGGAAAAAGGAGAAAATAGATTGTTTAAAAATTTGCAAATTCTCCATATCCAGATTAAAAAACATCGACATATATATTCATAAGCGAAGGCATCTAATTCCATATGGGATGTTGTGTGTGTTTTGGTCTTACTGTTTGTTTGTTGTGCATGCAGCTGGAATTGCCGAGAAGAAAGACGGAAAAGCATCTGCAACTAAAATCGTAATCCGAGTAACAAGTAAAAGGAATAATGAAGGTCAATCAACAACATGAAATGATTTTTCTAATTCCCTCTTGTTTTGTGGAACATATAGTGTATGGTAGCATATGTGCAAAATTGTAACCTTAGAATCGAGTATGTGTACCAAATAATATGGGTCCATCAGACCAGAATTTCATGCCTGAGTTCGTTGTTGTCTGAGCTTTTGACCTATAGTTACATTATTTAACTTGTAATTAAAAACCTGATCTGATTCACTTGTAAAACTCATGACCCTACTATTTAATATTTAAAAATGTAATAACATAATAAAGGATAGAGTAAATTACAAAAATGGTCCATATGGTTGGGTTCATTTTACAAGTAGTCAAACATTTGAAAAGATGATAGCGGAACAATGATCAAAGTAAAGGGGTATTCTAAATCGAAGTGTTTGGTTTTCCAAACTCGGTTTCGAGTTTAAGCCTAAACTCATTCGAAATTTTTGAGAATTAAGAAGCTTGTATTGTTTATATAACATATGTATAGGAACTATGTTTCATGTTATCGTCGATGTGAGACAATTTTAGAATTTAAGAAAATAAGTTGAAAAACCGATAAACAAAAAAACGTATGCCCGTGTGAAGGCTAAGATTCAAAATAAGGACCTCAAAGTTAAAAGTTCAATACTTTCTCACTTGGATGATTTATTACTTATGTTTAATTTTCATAACATTATAAAATAATAGGTATAATCCGTATAAATATATATAAAATAAGCTGCGAAAATAAAAATAAATAAATAAATGTTTGAAAGAAGATTTGAGCTTGCAACCTCCAAAAACACCTCTTAATGCTTTAACCATATAAACCAACTACAATTTGTATTATTATCTCGCTAAACATATTAATATTATATACACAACAAAATTTTTCTAAAAAAATTACAATATCAAAAAAAATTGTGGGGCATCCCAGGATATCTCGGGATCTACTATGGATCCGTCCAAGACCATAAGTCTATACAATATGTATGATAAGTGAGACTTATTTGATAATATTGAACATCGTCCCAAACAAGAGTAAGAACCTTGTAGTGATGGTGTGAAGTGTGTAGTTTCATGGAGCTTCAAAAGCTTTTTTTTTTTTTTTTTTATATCTCTCTGTGTGAGATTTTATTTATATATATAAGCGGTGATGTGGAATGTTGTTTTTTCTAAGGTGAGTAAGGATGTAGTGAAACTATGTGGCGATAAACACTTTGCGGAGTATATCTTATGGTCTAACCATCAACGGATTGATTTCCCATTGGTAGTTATAATTAATTCACCCAAAGAAGCCATCAATAATATTCTAACCTTTTATTGCTAATATACTAAATCTTCATTCAACACACCAATATTCCAGATTTTAACAATTTATCACCAATAAAAGTACAATGGTGTATTTGTGTTTAGGATGGTTATAATGGATTTTATGAGGACATCCAAATGACATTTTTCCAATTTCATAAATTCAAAGGCTAAAATTATGTGAAATGAAGAGACAAGAGGACATTGATTGTTTGTCTGACTTTTTGCTTGGCATCATGGGTCGCATCGAGAGATCAGGTAGATGTTAAAGCACATGCGAAAGGTTAACAACACCACCCGAATAAACAATTATTCTTTTGAGTTTTAGGTTGAGGTGAAGCTGTTGGTGGAACCGTGGGCACTTCATATTCATGCTCACGGTTCTTCTATATTCATTTGTGTTAATCGTTGGCAATGCATCAATATCATGTAGAATTCTCTTTTCCTGATCTGGAGTTATTCTCATCAGCGCTAGGGTTAGGGCTAGGCATATCACGTAGTCCGGTTAATCTTGTGTATCTTTCTTTGTGTTCTTGTTAACATCGAGCTCCAACTTTCTGTTTTCAACTTTGGCATCAGTATCGTTTTTTGTAATTATTAGGGTTTAGGAAGTGTCGTGTGGTAATTCTCTTTCATGTTTCCTTTGTAAATTTTATGATCGAATCTTTCGATTTCTAGGTGTATCATTAGGAGCAACAATGTATTTAGAAGAATTGTCTCTATGTACAGGTCGAGCTTTTGTTTTGAAGATTATGCGTTATGTGAACCATGGTTTTATAAGAAACTTGAATCATATTATTGAAAGCCACTTAATGGTGGTTAGATCCAAGAACAAAGAAAAGATAGATAATGGTTTTTTGACTCATCCGAGACTAGTCTAAAAAACAAAAACCAAAGTTTATATACATATCATTTTTGTGTTAGTTTTACATTTGTTAATCACACATTACCTTCTTCTTTCCTCTATTTTATTAATTTTTAGTGTATCATTTTAGTAAATCTTAATATATAATTTTGATGTTAATTAAACATTTGTTAACTAAAATACTTAAAATCAAAACAAAAAAACAAAATAAACCAAAATCAAACCACAAACCCCGAAATTGAACCGGAAAATGACTAAAGTACAATGGGATGTAATAAGGACCCGAGTATATATAAGTTTAGTGACTAAGTCATTATGTAAATGAGATGTAATTTAGTATCAAATAAGTTTCTTAGTCTTATTACATCCATTAGAGTCATTTATAAAAGTTACGAAATGTTTAGATGCATAAGGACTAAAGTACAATAGGCAAATGAGTAAAAATCACCATTTGTGCATAATGGGCTGAACCCGGGCAGACCCAAGGCTAGTGTAAATGAGCTCGGTCGGGTTTAAGCAATGTTTGTTTCATAAAAACGTTAATCATAACTCAAGTTTGGCTTATCCGCTTGACCTCTAGCTCCTTTCACATTTTTCATATAACCTTGAAATTAGTACTTAAATCATAAATTTAGTCAACCAACTTTGTACAGATATTTCGGTAGTTTGTAATCCATTAATGGTATTATTTAGGTGGTAATTAAGAAGTCTTTTGTCTTCGGAAGGAGTAATGAAGCATAACAAACACTTGAGGTGAGTGAATGTTGAGTACATGTTCCTATCACGATATTTATTAAATATTATGGTATAAACTTATATAACAAGTACCTTTGCTTTCTATGTGACCTTTTTGGTATGTTTGTGCATTTTGGAAATGTCTTCATTTAAAAATGCAAATGTTGGTTGAAAACTTGTTTAAGCATCATACTTGTGCATATGGATGGACACATAACTCCAAAATGTTGAACTTAGTGTTCGGGACTCTAAGTGGGTTTTGAGTATGATGCTACTATTTTGTTTGTCATTGGAACATTGGGACCCTAGAATGGAAAAGACTTTGTTTTGAGAGTAGAGAACTCGAGTTGGGATTTAGAAGCATGTGTATGTGCAACGCATTAAAACTTGTTTTGTATTGATATCACTAATTCTTCTTAGCCCTTATATATCCTTTATATATAACATTTATGGGAGTTCAACTTTAGGATTGGATTCTTGCAGTTATCCAATTCCATTCAAAAGTCTAATTTTCTATGTATTCACTAGATACCCCTAACTTTACTATTTTGACATGTAATGTTGCAGGATAATTAAGTATCCAATTGGATATTTAGGGGGTGTTTAGATTAGCTTATTAGGTTATTTGTGGTGGAAATAAACAAATAACCAGTAAACAATAAACAAGGACTGAGATGCTTATTAAAATTAGTTTATTTAGTTTACTTTTAACACAATAAGTTGATTTTTAAATATTTTATCCAAACACTTAAACTTAGCTTATTGTGGTGGGAATAAACAATAAGCAATAAACACTTTTTTTTTCCTATCCAAACACCCCCTTAGAATAAATACTGTGATAATAGCAATCAACGAGTCTCTTTTAAATCATTTAGATAATGTACGTTTGATATAAGCTTGTGGGTTGATTTTTTTTTTTTTTTTAAATGCAATGCAACGCAAGCTTATGAAAGGTGTACATATCAATAGATTGTACACGTGGTTCTTGCTAGTGTTGTTTCAGGAGATTGAGAATTGAGATTCTCACATCGGAAAGCTTTGGATCCATATATGCGACAAACAAAATCCAAAATAAAAAATAAAAAATTGAGTAACAGAAGAAAATAACATCAAACTTGACTAGTAAAAAGACCCAGAAACCGGAACGATAAAATTATTATACATACATACTGATACTCCACTTGACCTTACTCCTAACGGGGGAATATCCACAAATCAATCATTTAACACTAAAACTCTTATATAAGGAAGGAAGGCTGAAAAGCACATTGAGACCAAATTTAGCACCTCGATTTAAGGGGCATGTATAGTTATAGAGGTTGGTTGGTGATGTATTATTATTATTATTATTATTATTATTATTTTGACTTATTTCCACAGCTTAAGAGAGTTGTCATGACTCCCAGAGGCAACCATTCCAGTAACAGGTGACTGTGCCAACGCAGATATTATGTTGTCATGAGCTGGAACTATCATCCGCTTGTTCTCCGCCATGTTCCACAGCTCCAACGACTGTACAATATTTATTAAAAAAAAAAATCATAAAAAGGGGATAAGATAAATGCAAGACATAAGAATCTACCTGTGAAGTAATATAAGAAAAAACAGCAACTTACACGACTTCCGCCAATAACCAAAAGAGTAGAATAACTGGGATGGAAAACACAAGAATGGAATTGGTTTTCATTCGAGGTGAGCTCATGAATGCACTCCCCAGAAGCTAACGACCAGACTTTGACACATTCCTCACTAACAGAAGCCAGATACTCCCCGTTCAAATCCCAGCACAAGTAGTTCAATACTCCCGAATGTCCCTAAGTAGTTTAATACAACCAAATCAACTCACTCAATATGCATTTGTAACTGAAACATGCTTTCACAGCATACCTGAAAAGAATGTGTTTGTCTATCGGCTTCCACATTAAAGATGGAGATTATTTTATCAGATGCCGCTGCCAGTAAAAGTCCAGTTACTGGCTGGAATCGCACTTGTTCAACGCCTCTTTGCTGCCAATCAAATAATAACAATGCATTAGTTAGATACAAAAAACAAAAATCTGGGAATATACAAATAAAAAAAAAAAAAAAAACAACAACAACCAACCTTAGAGACACGAGTACATTGGAATGGGCTAGTATTCCAATATCGGATTTCATTCATACTATCACAGAAGCAGAAAAGATCATTCTTCTTCGGATGAAAATCTAGGGACATAACATGCCCAGAATGCCCCGTATATGCATTTAAACAATAGCTTGGCTGCAACATCATTAAATATATTTATTTATTTAAACTGTAAACACAAAAGGTTCTACTTTCGCTCAACAAAAAATGCAAATTTTATCTTGTCTGTGAAAAAGATGTGAATGCCCTCCTCATCAATGTGTGTGGTTGTGTTTGTGTGTGTGCGATATAGATGAATTGAAAAGAAATCTTACATTGGCTGCATCCCATAGTCGTACAGACTTATCAAAAGAAGCAGTTGCAAACTGAGTTGAATTTGGTCTAAACCGAATATCAGTAATTAAGTACTGATGTTCTTCAGGGGTGCTCTCAGTTTTTAAGGTATCCATGTTCCACAAAACCGCCTGAAAAAATAAAATAAAATTATTACATACTTCCACTTAATGGATTATGACACATTCTCCAAAACAAAAACCATGAAGCACTACAAAAGGTATCTGTATTGCTTTGTAACGATGATAATAAAAAATAATCATAATCATAACAGTGCAGTAGTGGTCTCACCTTTTTGTCATGTCCAGCACTAGCTAGCAACTTCCCATCTGAAGAGAAGTGACAGCATGTCACCTTATTTCTTGTCCGTATACATCCAACTTCCCCAAATGAAAAACCTGTGTGTGGGGATGGAAACAGAGTTTAATTATGACAAGACTCTTTTTAACTTTTACACAAACTCTTATATCATCATTGATTGAGTTGAGAGTTGAGAGTTGAGAGTACCTTTGGAATTGGAGGAGGAGGACCCACTCTTGTGCTCTGTAACTGTCTGCTTTAGGGTGTTATAATCTCCTGCATCATGTTGTAGAAATGATTCCACGTTATCATCCAGAGCACCAACATCCCCAAACTGATCCAGATCATCCTGCACTATGTATAAAAAGGTTGAGCACTTTTCACTGCTATATAAGACAATACTCTAATGGGAAGAAATGAAAGTCGGATGCTATAATATATATATATATATATATATATATATATATATATATATATATATATGTAAGAAACAGACTTACCAGCTGAGTTGTTGATGAAGCAAGCCCACCTGTGCCATCTCCACCATACATCATCATGCCTTTTTGCACATTGTTCACATGCTGAAGACTGCTAGCCCCATCACCAGGTGTATGAGTTGATGCTGGAGAGCTTGGTGAAGGGCCCGCTGTATTCCCTGTACCTGAACTGTTAGCTGGTCCAGACGAAGAATGTTGCTTTCTTTTTCTATTGTTCTGCTCCAAAATTTAAACAAACACAAAAAAAAAAAAAAAAAAAAAAAAAAAACAAAGTAATAAGAATAAATTAAATGAACCCAAGACTTTAATAATTACCTAACCCTCATGATAATCATCCATCCATAAACAGTTAAAACACTACCTGTTGTTGTTGCAGCTGGTGTTGCTGTAACTGATCCTGTTGTTGTGAAGACGATTGTTGCATTTGAGGCATCTTCATCTGTTAAAATATATATTAATTTTATTTTTTTAAATCTTTAAATTGCAAATGAATATGAGTTTAACAACCTTGGGTGAATTCATTTGTCCAGGGGAGCCTATAGATCCTTCGTTTCTTGTGGGTTGACCATCTTTCATGATTATATTGCCTCGTGATAATCCAGAAAATCCATAATTTGGTGATGCACCCAGGTTGCCTTGTGCCTGAGCATGTGCTAATACCTGTTGTTGTTGTTGTTGTTGTTGTTGCTGCTGCTGTTGCTGTTGTTGTTGTTGTTGTGATGCCAAATAAAACTGATTTGGGTTCTGTAAATTGGGTTTATGGACTTGAAGACCTATACCAGGGCGTAGTTGGTCAATTCCCTGCATTGTATTTATATGTCAACAGTCAACACCAAATGTCAACTATGAAATTTTATATATTACTGAAAGAAACTTCTATAGGAAACTTACAGTTAGAGGCCAACCCTTCAATGGAAGACCAGTTACACCTTGATTAAACCCTAAAAAGATTTTAAAAAAATAAATAAAGCAAAATCTAATTTTGAAATATATGATTTTGAGCATCCACATTGTTAGAAGATTACCTGTATTGCCCATACCAGACTTTGACTGCAAAATGGCTTGCCCATAAATCGATGAAGGATCTGTGGGCAACGATTTCTGTGTATTACCCATGTTGACTTCTTGTTTAATTTCCTAAGATTTTATAAAAAATTCATGAGTCCAAGCACGAACAAAAGAAAGAAATGTAAAAAGATAATTTTATAGGAATATACCGTATTCATCTGAGATCTTCCTTGAATTTGCTGCAAACTTGCAGACATATTTGCAGAGTTTCCTTGCATCAGTTGTCTGGATGAACAAAGACCAAAAGAACATGGTAAGATGATAATACAAGGGAAGAAAACAAAAGGGGAAATAACAGAGTAGAGAACTAACTGATATGCATACCCTTGATGATTAGTGGCTGATTTGAGAAGGGCCATTCTGCTAGCATCAAGAAGAGCTGGAGAGGTTTCTGAATCCATAGAATGAGAAGGCTTCATGGATTCCTCATAGATTTTCATACCACCGAGTGTACTGGGTGATGGCTTACCCATCATTCCATCATTGTTCATGGCATTAACATGAGCACCAAGGGGAGGATGATTAGGGTCCCTCCTTTGCATTTGAGCATTTCGTTGTTGTAAAAAATGCATTTGTTGCATTTGAAGTTGTTGCTGGTGTTCCTTTGCTTTCATTTGCTGTGTCTGGTATTTGTTTATAAAAACAAAAAAAAAAAAAGGAATGAAAAACATAAAACAAAGGGGAAAGCATTACAAAAAAAGGAAACATCAACAACTGTAAAAATAAATAAATATATAGAAAAGGACCTCAATGTAAGCTACAGCTGCCTCAGAATGTTTTTCATTAGTCCTTGCAATAAAAATGTCCCAGAAGACAGACCACCATTCAAAGAGAAATCCACCCGGAGCATCAATAGCTGCAAATCAATCGGAAATAACAAGAGTAAATTATGTTGTTAATCTTCACAATTTGCCCTTAATCAAATTAATATACTATGTTAACTGCATGGATCATCTATGGATTGATTATGATTTATGAATCCCTTTAATCACGTACATAAAACTAACTCTCCAACTGACTCATATTCCAATATTAACAAACAGGGAATCAAATTTGGAGCTCCTGTCATCAATTTATCAACAATATGGGAACCCATGACAACATACCTACAGGATCTGTAGCAACCTTCCCTTCATTCATGAAAGCTTTTGCAGATGCATGCAACTTCCGTTTCAACAAATAGTCATGGATGTAAACATCCAACCTAGCAAAAAAGGGCAATTCCAAAATTAGAATAAAATCATCCATAGAATGACCACAACTTTACAAATGAACAAAAACTAATATCCATCCGTTTCAAATTTAGTGCAACCTTTTGATCAATTACATGAACAGATAATGTTCTTGCGAAAAGAAGAAAAAAAATGGCCTCATCAAGCAAATCAGTTTGAAATTTTATCAACATAGATCAATTCACAGTTAAAACTTCCAGCGTGTGTGACAATACTCTGTACATGAAAAACAGCCGGAACAAAAAAGATGAACGGTGCTTACATTTTATCAGCTTCCCAACTACTTTGCGCCATCTTGTTCAGAACCACCGATTGAAACTAAGGTCAATAATAATTCTTCTCTGCAATCTCTTCTACACGTTAGAAAAAGAAAACCAAAGGTTAAAAAGTCAATTAAGGAATATTGAATAACAAAATCGAATAGTCATAACAATAAATTCACTAAATGCGTCATACCAGAAGGCCATCAGATTAAATCCAGCATTTCGATCGAGCGAAAACGAATCCAATTTAACTCAAAACCTTGATTCATAAGTAAGAACAAAAATAAATATTAGTCGAATTCAAAACGAATTTCTGGTAGTAAAATTCGAAACTAAAAACGAACTGACCGTAGTTAAGACTTCAGATAAGCGATAGCAGCTTCTATTTTCAATCAATTTTCTCCAAACCTTATCGGACACGCCTGAGTTCGGAACGCAATTGAAGCGAAATTTAATTTTAATCGGTACTTGTAATCAACAAAAATTCAGAACAAAAAGATCCGCACGCGCGATTCAAAATCTTGATTCATAATTACCAATCAGAATTAGCGGAATTCAACATAAATGAATTGCTGGTAGTAAAATTATAATACAAACACAATACTAAATCAAAAGTTCAATATAAACAATACTAAAAGCTTCAGAGTTGAGATGACAACCTCTGTATTCAACTCAATTCCCTTTCACCGGCTAAGACCGACTTTGACTTCTGAAAGCAATTGAACTCGAAATTCACTTAAATCGGGACTCCTTGACTGTACTCAACCGAAATTGAGAACACGCCGAATGATCAAGATCCAGTTCCTAAATTTAACCTCAAATCAAAGAAATCGCAAACTGAAATTTTCGCTTCTAATTAATATGAACTAAAACAACAGAACATCCACGTGACGTGAGGAGAGAAGAAAGAAAATGTCAAGAACATTAAAATCCCAAGAACGACGAAACCTGACGGGGGAGGTTCGGAAAGCGAAAACCAGGATCGGGGTTAATGTAAAATTAAGTAAAATAGGTTTGGGTTTTGGTTCGGAGTTAGGTTTGAATAAAGGTCGAACAGGTTGTGGTAAATAGTGGGCCAGGGTGACCGGAGGAAAGACGGGGGAGAGGCGTTTGTGGAATATGAGGTGGGGATGACGAAGCTGTTCGATGTTTAACGAGTGTGAGCTGTCATCATCACTTAAAAAGGCATTAAATAATAAATTGATTTGTTTCTGAATTTAATCTATGTACCGTTGGTTCCACCCTATGACAATCAGAGTAGGGTATTAAAGGTAAAAATTATATCTAACAATTTTCTTATTTAACCTAAATTAAAAATCATGTATCCAAAATTCTTTAAATTGTTGAAAAATAACAACTTCGGTATAAGTGATGAATGAAATAAATGAAATCAAGTAATTTCATTTACATTTACATCAATACTGGAAAAGTATTGTTTTTTATTTAACTATAATAATCTAAATGTAATAATAATTAGATAACCAATCCATCCATTTGACATCAAACTTGGAATGGTAAATCAAATATATTTTTAAATTACTATTAAATTCATATATGTTTCTAATAAAACTTGAACTTTCAATCTTATGGAAAAAAGACAACATTATGATACTGTTGGACTAAAGCTCTTTTATATTTAAATATTTGTATTATCATGATTCAAAATGATGTAACGAAGATTCAGAACCTTTGGAAGCTATTTCAAATACTATTTAAAGTTAATAAATTATTGGGTAAAGTTTGGATAATTTCTATCATTAACTGTATCTTTTTTGTATATTTTTAAAGAAGCTAAATAGTGGCAAAAAAATTAATATTTTAATATTTTACATCGGATGATAACGGCCACATATTGGAGAATTGTAAGCGACTCACTGCTATTTTCTAGGCACCTCTCACCCCATTTTGATTTTGTAAATTGTAATAGATGATGTAATAATTAACAGTAAACAATAAAATAATTTGGTGATATCGAATGTACTATACAATTTGTTGTAATTAATAAAATAATATACAGACCATAAGGATAACAATCATTAATCATGCAAATAAATATTTTTTTTACTTAATTTGTACCTCTTAATTATTTAATTATTTATGTGTTGTTTGTTTTTTCTGAAGCAAAATATTTGCAGTCTGCGGACAACATCTGTAGACCCTACAGTAGAAAAAATGGATCATACGTCTACAGTTTGAAAAACAAATTTTTTTTTTTTTAATATCTGCAGACTACTAAAATAAACTAAAATCTAAATAAACTGATTTTTTTTTTAACTTAAAAGTGATTTTTAATATTTTTATGACTTTGTTATAAATAACTAACAAATCTATATCAATTTTATGTATTATTGTATAAAAATAAAAAATAAAAATGATACGAATTAACGTATATATTTGATAAAAACTGATAATTTTGATCACAAAGTTAAAGTAAACATTGTAATTAGGAATCAATGAATTTAATATATAAACGGGTGGAAATAAACTTTTGATTTTTTTTTTTTAAATTAAATCAAAATTAAAGCACATCATAAATGTTGTCTCAAGAAATTGACAATATTATATTAATAATGTTTTATAAAATTTGGCACAAAAAATATAAAAATATATTATGATTTTTTCATATTTATGTAAACAGCTGCAACGATCATTGCTATAATAAATCTTTATTTATAAATTTATCAAAAACGTCATGTTTGTATCGTCGAACATTTTTATTGAAGTATTGTAACTTTTTTTTTTCAAATTCTTTATCATTAATAAAGTTGGAATAAATATAAATTTAAAATATATATATATATATATATATATATATATATATATATATATATATATATGTTTTTTAGGCTAGAAGATGTTTGAAGATGTTAGAAGACTCTGATTCATAATTGTGCAAAGAAAAGGATGCACATACATTTTTAGGTATACAGTTTTCTAAAAAACAATCAGTCTGCGAAGGCTAATATCTGAATGGCGTAGACAGAAGATGCCAATAAGATTTGCAGACAAAAAACAAACACCACCTTCAAATATCTAACTTTATTAGGTTTTTTATAGTTGTTTATTTATAACAATTTGAAAATGAAATATTAATTTTATGAGATTATATCCTGATTTCTTAAGCCACGTTTTTTATTGATTTATTAAGCGCAAATTTAAATTTGAGAATCAACACATGACATATTATTAATTAGAATGTGTATTAGAGTAACACATGACAAAATAAAATTAAAACTATTTTTTTATTAGTATAATGATATTATATTTATATTCCATAGTTCTGGAAATTATAACAAATACAATGTTAAACCCTTGTCTAATTTTAATATTATTTACAAGACAAGTCTATTGATAAGTTTAAAGTTGTTTATATTGACATCAAAAATCCATTTTTCCATAACTTTTATTTATTTCTTGAAATCAATAATACACTTTTTTTATATCTAACACAAAAACATATTTACATTCATTAATTACCCAAGTCGTTTCTCTCTCTCTCTCTCTTTCTATATATATATATATATATATATATATATATATATATATATATATATATATATATATATATATATATATATATATATATATATATATATATATATATATATATATACTAGCCGTTTACCCGCGCCAAGCGACGGATGCAAATAGATTTTTTCATAAATTAGTTTCTAGAGGCAATTAAATTTTTTTTGCAAAGCGTTGAGCGGCCAATAGTTTCCACCGACCAAATTTACGCCTTAATTGAATCAGTTCTGAAGTGTAATGCCCATGTGAACCAACGTACAATGCTAAAAAGTATTTATAATTTAGTAAGATAAATTATCAAATAAGATAATGAATAAAATAAAATGGATACCATTTAATGGATCTTTATTTGTTGGAAGCTCAATTCGGTTAAATGTTGTGGATCCGGATAAAGGTTGATGATTTTTAGCATGGGTAAGTGTAAGATTAATCAACTGACCAACATCTTTAAGCACCTGTAAAATGTTTTATAAAAACTATATATTTTGACAAAAAGTCAAAAATACCGCTTTTGTTTTACCCTATTTTAGAATTTTAGTAACCTGACCTACATGGGTATCTTTCCTTTTCCAATTGACTTGGCAAGATCAAGCATAATGCTGTCAAGCATAATGTTGTTTGTGCGACGATTACCACGAACGTGTTCTTTTCTCAAGCTTAGTTGGCACACAAATAAAATCTTTAGTAGGGGTATTAATGGAAATCTTGTGTACTAAGCCACCAACTACAATCTTGACTGCAAAATGAAAATATAACATGAATCCAATCGAGAGAATGATAATATTCCTAATAAGAAAATATAATGTTGATGGATTAGCAGTTGAAGAACGAAAATAGAATATAAACCTGCTCACAAATGTGAAAAAAGGTACACAAGATATAAGGTTTACTTCGAGTTTTGAAGTTTAATGGATGTTTTTCTTTTCTTAGAAACTGGTTCTTCATCTTGCGACTGTTCTTCATTAGCTTCCACTTCATCAAGCAAATTTTCCGCATTAGGTGTTGCCCCGTCAATTCTTTTTTATACTAAAAATAACAAAAAGTAATCCATAGTTGTTAATCATATGATTAAATATTTACTGGAGGATGGTTAATATAAAACTAAAAATTTTAACTATCAGAAAAGTTCATTATCTTTTCAAGATTTCAGTTGACTCGGTAGGTGGCAACACAAAGCCATCCATCTGCAAGGAAATAAACAAACAAGTATGATGAAAATAAGATAGCAAACACTAAACTTTACTTACTTTACACATCAACTCAGCACTTAACAGATTCAGTATTGATAGCAACCGGTGATTAAAAAGTACCAACCTGCAAAACTTAGCAATAAACTCAAGCAACAACTCATCAACACCCAAAAGGGCGATTTACACAAAATTAACATTTGGAAGTAGAATAACCCTTGTCTGACTAACGATTTAGAAAAAATTAGGGTTTTAGGACATAAATTACGGCATGAATAGGGAATAAAAAGATACACATTGCAGAGGAGATTGTTTGATGTTGTAATTTGAGGAGAAGCAAACTTTTTGTTGATCCCATCTGATCGTTGTACTTTGCTAAGAATCGAACGAAATGGTGGACGGTGACCCGCTAATAGGTTGTAGTGAAGACCAATAACGGTGGCGTGGTGGTAGATGTTCCAGTAAAATCTGTATTTGTTCTCTGGTTTTGGCCTCAAAAGCAGAGCAAATGCCTGAAAAATTGTTAACATCAGTTTCAATTCTACACAAGATTGAAAATAAATTATGAAAAATGTGATCGATTTTTGCATACCTAAATGGTTCCTAGGGAAAAAAGTGCGATTCCGATGTTGCAGTGAGTGTTGTATTCGATTCCGATGGAGTCGCTGACAAGTTTCACTCCGGTGGCCCATTCGGCTACTCCGACGACATAGGCGGAAGCCTGGCAGGTGACGTGGATGTAGAACCCGGATGGGTTAGCCGACTTGAAGACTTTCAGATATCTCGCAGCCATGGCTCCCATTTGCATCATTACTCCCCAACTTATAGTGTTCAACGCTCTGTAAGTCTGTCAAATTGTTAAATGTCAAAACCAAATCTAGAATTTAGATCTCGATCATCAAAAAAAAGAAGGAAAAAGTTTATTCGACTAAATATAAAAAACTTACGTTTCTCCTTCCTAATAGATTCTGAAGTGATTAGGAAGGAGACACAAACAAGAGGGTTCGATTTCTTTCTGATGGCGGCTGTTGTGTCTAGTGTTATGCGTAGAGAAGATTAGGGTAACATAGAAGGTAATATCGTGTATACGTATATCATATGTGATTATGAGCTTAGTATTATTGTACATCAAGTAATAGGTATTGTACCTCTTAATTTTCAAGAAACAGGCAATATGTTTAATAATATAGTAAAGATATATATATATATATATATATATATATATATATATATATATATATATATATATATATATATATATATATATATATATATTGGTCTTCTTCAACATCGTTCGTGGCTTTGAAAAATAGAATTGGACATCTTGGGTTGAAATGACCCATCATAATAGAAGTGTGAATGATTTGGGTTGCCATCAGGGAAATGACTAAGAACTAAACAATAACATTTTGCGTCTTCACAACAATGATCGCCTATAATAGTATTGATAAAGCTTGCAAACCATTTCTATTAATTGGCCATCTTGGATGGCGTAACATATAATTTTACAAGAAACAACACTTGAAATGAAAACTTTTTAAATAGAGAAAGAGAAGAATTATAAAGAAATTGTTAAACACATGTAACACATGTAGCATATACATAACTCATGAGTCATATTTTTCGAATAAAGGATATTTCTTGCCACCAATTCACGATGGAGATTCGCATGTTTGATAGACATTTGCTTTATTTTTATTTTTTTTAAAATTTGGTTTGTTGGTGATATAAAACATTAAATGTGACATCCCCATTTTTACGATCAGAAAAGACCGATTTTGTTTATGCTTTGTTTAAAAAGCAGAGTAATATTTTAAATAAAAGTGTTGCGGAATTTGTCCTAAAACAAAATATGATAAAGATTTATCAAAAGCATTTCCGTGGAAATGTATTTCATTTAAAAAGATTCGGGATGTCATGTTCGATACAGATCGTAAGCATAAAAAATACAACATAGGCCTTACTACATTATTCCGTATTTACAGGCCTAAAATCCATTAATCTCTCATCCCAAGACATCACATCTATGCTCATGCGCCACTACCTGTAATACAAGAAACTGAGTGGGTCAGGCTTGAGAGTCTGGTGAGCACATAGGGTTTTCAACCCACAATAAATAAGTTATTAGCTTTATCAAACCAAACAAACCCGATTACCTGTTCCCGTTATCATCACTTTACGTCCTAAAACATCTAACACAAGAGACCTAGTCTAAGGACTACCATCGGGATGGACACTACTGCTAAGGGGATTCCTCAGCAATAAATGGCCTTAAGGCAACCATGTGGGGGATGGAGTACATCTGGTGAGCACACACAGTTCAAATAAACACCTACAGGTTGCGAGCCTGCTAGTGTTCCACTGCACTGTCTAGAATAGTCTGTGGTTGTCATCTATACTCCGCTAGATGATTGGATCATCAATAACATCTATAACGAGGCCTCTCATTATTTCATTTTATCACACAGCAACTAATACATCTACCCATGTTTTACCCCAACATTTTCGTAGATATAAAATACATATACATTTTAAATCATTGAAAACATGTATAAAAATGTTCATCAAGCATAGATAGCAAGTATTCAGGTAATATGCACACATAGCACGTAATTTATATAAAATACTTCATATCTATGTGTAAGTTGAGAGTAACTATGCACTCACCTGGTAAGGTGGTGACTCGGCACTCGGACAACACTTCGTTACTTCTTAAAACAATTTTTCCGTGACCAAAACCTAGTATTAATACCACTAGAGTTTAGTTTTAACGTTAATCGCGACTAATTAATAGTCTAATTATACTATTATATAAGCGTTAAATAACACTCAATATAACTCATAATAATAGCCCAAATAATTATTTTAAGGTCCTAATAATTTTACTATAATTAAATAAAAGCTATATTAAATATAGTATAGGCGTAACTCACTTACAGTGGATTTTTATTAAAAATCGGGCTTCGCTGGAGCAACGTTTCTGAGCCGAAAGCTTTTCTTCTCGGAGCTGTCAGGTGCTCCGGGGCTTTCTTCTCGTGATAGGGAGGTTCCCTAGACTTGGGAGGGGTTTAGGGAGGTTAGAGAGAGAAAGAAAGGTTTGAAGGTGTGAGGAAATTATGAAGAGTTCATCTCTTATTTATATGAATTGTATAGTAAAGTAGTCTCCAAGCTTCGTCCGTAACTTTTGCATACGAGCTTCATTTTTGTTTGTCTTTTTACTGTTGAGTTCCTATTAATGAGATCTTCAACTTTAATTTAGACCTCGTTGGCTAATTCTCATTCTATCTCGGATTTACAAAACTGTATCGAATTCGTCGCGCTAGAAAAGTAGAGACTAAGCTTCGTCCATAACTTTCGCATACGAGCTCCGTTTTTGCCTGTCTTTTTACCGTTGAGTTCCTATTAATGAGATCTTCAACTCTCATTTAGACCTCGTTGGCTAATTCTCATTCTATCTCGGATTTACAAAATTGTATCGAATTCGCTGCGCTCGAAAAGTAGGGACTAAGCTTCGTCCATAACTTTCACATACGAGCTTCGTTTTTGACTGTCTTTTTATCGTTTAACTCCTATTAACGATATCTCATTTATTGTTTAGATTATTTTGACTAAAAATCGACCGATCTAAAATTCAGATTTCGGGCTGTGCACTGTTATGCTAAATCTTAGAAAAATCATAACTTCCTCATATGAAGTCAGATTTGGATGTTCTTTTTATTCACACTATCGGTTTAACATATACTACGACTTTCATTTAAATCGCTAAGGCTAAATCTCGCTCTATCGTAAATTCACTATTTATGCCTCCCGGTATCGTGTCGGTTCCGTCGCGAAACTTCGACGGGTCATAACTTCTTCATTATAACTTGGATTTCGATGCTATTTATATGTACTGAAACCTTGTAACATATACTAAAACTTGGTTGAGATTATTTATTATTAATAATCTTTTGTCGAAAAGTCATTTTTCGACCCCTATTGCCTCTAAATTGACTAGCCCGGATCTACGGACGTTACATTAAAATAATTGTTTTAGTGAAAAACTCTAAGAATAAACATGTAAAAAAATGTTATGATAAATCTAGGGGATAGACCTATGTAAGCACGGGCTCAAAGATTTTGATATTAGAAATAAGTTGTTTAATTATACTTTTAAATTATATGTTGCTTATTAGGGTATCAATGGCGGGGGGAAGGGGAATTAAAACACAAAGTTCATTTAATAGCTTCTATCTAAAAAGGTGGTCTAGGGGTCTCTTCACTAAAATCACAAAATTTAGCACTATTGATCAAATGGTGGTGGAGCCTAATGAATGAAAATGGAAGCCTATGGAAAACAGTTGTTATCAGTTTACACAATCTGGTGTTAAAACCTGCTCACTATATTGTTAGGAAGACCTCCACCTAGGTTTGGTGTAATATACATAAAGCAGTCAAAGCTATGGGGTCACTATATTGTTAGGAAGACCTCCACCTAGGTTTGGTGTAATATACATAAAGCAGTCAAAGCTATGGGGGTATTGGTATTGATATTCATCAGATATTCAGCCTTATTCCTGGATCTGATATTCAAATTCTATTTTGGAAAGACATTTGCCGTGGAACAAAAACATTTCAAGAAAAATACCTTCATCTCTACAAGATCGAATCTATTAAAAATTGTTCATTGAGGGATCGTCTGTCATCAAACGGCTTCTATTGGTGTTGGAAGCACGAGCCATCCAATTCAGTGGAATTACACGAGTTGCTACAGTTATACATGAATATATGTGATTTGAACTTCAGTGGCACACCTTCCACATATGGTTTTTGATTCAGTATAACAGTTGATGGAGACTACAAGGTAAAAGAAATGAGACAACTCATCGATTCAAAGTAGATCCTCTCCACAGGTCCTAGAATCTGTTGGTAAAAAATAATCCCGTTAAAAGTTAGGTGTTTTGTCCGGCGGACTTCAATGGGCAGGATTCCAGTGGCGGATACTTTATTAGCAAGGGGATTAAATGTTACTAATCAGATGTGTCCATTTTGCAACAATGACTTAGAATCAGTAAACCACATGTTCCTCCATTGTGAGTTTGCCCAAAATGTACACTCTTGGATCTTCAAATGGCTTGGATTGGGGACTAGAAGGTGCTAAAATATCTCAAAATTTCTTAACTCATGTAATGGGTGACATAACTGTCAGATACAGACACTGATTGGTGATATGGTCGTATATTGCACACTTTGAAGCATTTGGGTTGCCAGGAACAATTGGATTTTTAAAAATATTCGAGTATCTTCAACAAAGGTTACAGATGTTTTGCTTTTATTATCGTCTTTTTTTCCTCGTAATTCATACTCATGGTGTAAATACAAAAAAAAAAAAAAAAAAAAAAAGGTTGTGGCGACTGGGCTAAATGAATTTTTTCACCTTTTACTCATTTATCATTGTAATTTGTTTTGCTTTTATTATCGTCTTTTTTTCCTTGTATTGTTTTTCTGCTGCGATTTAGTTACTTGCTAATCGTCGACCTTTTAATAATAGTCGTTTAAAAAAAAAGTAGTTTATATTCTTTCTATTATTTATAATCAGACCAACTAATACTTAATATCATCTTATGTTTTTTTGTGTTTACGGATATTCTTCAAAGGATTATATGTCTTAATCTTAAATAAGCTTAAATTTTCAAAGAACAATAAAGTTTATACAAAATAAATGTGAGCAAACAACATGGGAAGCATTAATATTCATTAAATGATGTAGGGAACTAATTACATCAATGGTTGTACTTCACCATTTGTAACTCCGCCTCATGA